AAAAAAAAAAAAACTTCAACGGATGTGGTCACATCCGTTAACGGATGTGCCACATCCGTTTAATAGATTTTTAAAAAGTTTTTTATTTATTATTTAAATAATAATATATAAATTAAAATAATTATTATTATTTTATTAAATAAAATAAAATTAATTTACAAATAATTAAATAATAATTTTTTAAAAATTAAATAATATTTATATATTAATTTAAAATATAAAAAATTAAAAAAATAAAAACTAAAAAACAAAAAAAGCAACGGATGTCGCCACATCCGTTAACGGATGTGGCGCATCCGTTTTAATATATTTATAACAAATTTTTTAATTATTATTTAAATAATAATACATAAATTAAAAGTAATAATAATTATTTTATTAAATAAAATAAAATTAATTTATAAATAATTAAGTAATAATTTTAAAATAATTAAATTATATTTATATATTAATTTAAAACAAAAAAAATAAAAAAACTAAACTAGAAAAAAAAAAGCAACGGATGTCGCCACATCCGTTAACGGATGTGGCACATCCGTTTTAATATATTTATAATAAATTTTTTAATTATTATTTAAATAATAATACATAAATTAAAATTAATAATAATTATTTTATTAAATAAAATGAAATTAATTTATAAATAATTAAGTAATAATTTTAAAATAATTAAATAATATTTATATATTAATTTAAAACAAAATAAATAAAAAAACTAAAAATTAAAAAACCAAAAGAAGGCAACGGATGTCGCCACATCCGTTAACGGATGTAACACGTCCGTGGAAGAATTTTTTCTTCAACGGATGTTGACATCCGTTGAAGAAAAGAGGTGGGGGTGTAGGATATTTTAAAATATAAAGGATAATTTTGGAATTTTAAAAAAATGTGGTGGTGCAGGGAGCAAAGTGGGGTGGTGTAGGGAGTAAAACCCTTCATTGTTTGGGTTTTGTATAGCAACTTTTAAAATAATACATAATTTTTTTTCTTGTATAAATTAAGTTAATTCGTAGTGAAGCTTTTTTACACAGGTTTTTAAAAGTTTTAAGTATTACTTTATACATAAATTCATCTTATTTTGTAAAACAAAAATCTAATTTTTTATATATTTTTAAAATTCACAAAGCTGGCACTACCATCGCAATATACCTAACATCCTTTTACCGCCGCGTTACAGACGCCAATTGGATACGAAATCGGCGAGCAATTCTGGCAGCCGAACCGGTGGGCTGTGGAATACGGCGGGGAGCCGCCGGAGGAGTGAGGAGAACTGGATTTAGCCGCTCCATTACGGATGCTGGTAAGATACGCACCCGAGGAACAATTCCGGCAACGGAACCGGTGCACCGCGTAGCACGGCAAGGAACAGGGAGAGGAGTGATACGAACCGGATTTTGCCGCTCCGTTACGGGGGCATATAGAATACGCAGTTGGCGAGCAGTTCCGGCAGCCGAATCGGTGAGCCTCAGAACACGGCGGGGAACTGGCGGATGAGTGAGGCGAACCAGGCGGAGTGTGAGAGGCGCTGGACGAAGAAGATGGAGAAGGAGATGATTTGTCCAGCGGCGAAAGAATGGCTCTGATCTTCAACCGATGAGGTAAGGACGAAGAAACTCGATCGTATTCCTCGATTATATTTGCCAAATCTTCGTCGTTTTTGACGGAAATCAAGGTGTCCAAGTCCCCGTTTGGCAAAGGACACCGGAGTGTCGCCGGCGAACCGCACAGCTCGCTAATCTTTGTCATTAACTCTACAAAACACTAACGTGTAAGCACACGCGCCTCCAATAAAACGTATTATTTTATAGAAACTAATAAAACTAAAATTATATTGAAAGATAAACCAAAATGACTGTAAAAAACTATTTAAATTCTAAAATAGGAGATACACTGTTATTTAAATCTTTAAAATGTTAAAATTTAAATAATGTCAAGATATACTCTCTCTTTTTTCTATGGACGAAATTACCATGATAAAAACATTAATTTTCTAACCATGAATTTTATATGAGTGATAAATTTGAGTTTTAATAATTAAAATGACTCTTTATGAAAATATATTTCATCAATAAATGAACTAATGGAAAAGCTTGATGAAATTGATGAAGCGAGTTAGGAGTTACTGACCTGAGAATGAAGTGGAAGGAAAAGCGAGGACTCTGGTGTGGCCGCCGTAGTATCGGAGGATGCCGTCGGTGCGGCGAGGAAGGATCTTGCCGCCGTAGCTACAGAGGAACTTAATAGTATTATTTCCGTTGTTATTGTTATGCAGGAGTTTAGATCCCATGGCCGAGTATTGCAAGAATGAAAAGCTTTGGTAATTTGGGTATGTTTGAGCGTTGCCTGAAAACTCTTGTAAGTGAGTTTCATCCACATTTATAGCAGATGCAGGGAATAACAATAAATAGAAAATAGGAATCTTCATACGATTTCCCTTTTTTTTTTCGCACATCCGCGTATTCCCTTTTATTCTCCTTTTTCTATTCTATTCAATATTTGATTGAAACATTTAATAAAAACTCAATCAATTCTACTCTTATCTTAATAATTTATATAAAAACGAATTTGAATTGATTAAGTCTTTTTAATTTAAATTCGAATTTATTTTTCTGATGTAAACCTTTTCACTTTAATTCTATAACTTTGTTTATAAATGTATTATATCACTTATCACTTATATTTAACGTAAATGTTTCCACCAATAATGAAAAATTTATTTTATTAGATATGAATACACTAAAATTAAACTTTTTAAAATTAAAGAGAATATATATAAATATATGGTGTTTGAATTTGAATTTTATATATGCATAAAAAAATTATTGAGATATTGTGGTTAATCATATTTTTAAATAAAAATTAGTCATTTATGGAGTCATTATATAATTTATACGATAAAAAAGTTGTTTTGGATTTCATTATATCAAATTATAAAAGTAGAAGGGGATTACATTGAGAAACAAACATTTTTTCTTAAATTCCAATTTATAAATATCTTTTTCATGTTTTTTTTTTCAAATATAGTTAATATTAGATTTTTTATTTAAACCCTTCGTTTGGAAATTCTTATAAGATGTTATATATAAGGATAATATATAAGGATTTCACACGTATTGTGATACTGAATGCTGTGTTACACTACAAAATTTGACATGTGAAAAAATATTTTACAAAAAAAATAAAACAAATGCAAATTAACATTTAACATGTCTTTAATGTTGTTTTTAAGATATTAACAGAAATTATCTAATTGAATCAATTTTCAAAAATGATTATTCAATTAGAAAAATATATAAATGTAAACAAAATTGAAACTTTCTAACCAACACTAAACAAATAATTGAATATATTAATTGAAATTATATTCTATGAATATATTGGTTAAGACTATATTTCATGATTTAAATTGTTTTTTGTTTGGTGAAAAATAACAATGTTATAGATTAAGATGAAATTAATAGTGGTTATGATGAAATTTATTAATGAAATAATACTTTTGTTATGAGATTAATGCAAATATTGAGCCATGAAATGTTATGATAGGATATACAAACTTTTATTAATAATTTAATTATATAACGGTGAAAAATCAACAAAAATGTATTCATTTGCTACGAGATAAGGTATATTGAAAACTAAATGAGAATACAATAAACTATCTTATCATAATTATCATATGAGATTGGAATTAATAATAAATAATAATGTATTTAATTATTACTATTATTATTGTTGTTAAATATTTGAATTGATTTATATAAATTTTGAAACACGTGTATTTTGTTTTACGGATCCACAAATATTAGTATTTGTATTTGTTTATGCATAATGAATGAGTGTGTAGTTAGATGAATAATTAGTCATAGTTTCTTTGACTTGTAAAATAAGGGTAGTAGGACTGTTAAACTAATTATAATTATAATAAAAAAATATTAATTATAGATATTAATAAATCTTAGAATATATAACTGAAAATATAATAAAAAATAATATTATATAATGAGTATTTTCATAATATTATATTTAATAGATTTTATAATATCTTTTATTTTGAGTATTATTATAGATATAATATTTATTAAACTTGCATTATAATATCCACAAGTTATAATAACATCTATTTCTATCAATACAAAATTATATATAATATTGATCTTTTAACATTAGATTATTCAAAACCTTCCAACTAAAACATTCTCAAAAAATATAAAAGACTACATAAAACAGTAATATGCATTCCTTATATAATACTATACATACATACATATATCAGTAAGGTTTATCCAACACTAACATGGAAAACTTATATCCAAAGAAAAATCTCAAAATGAATTATTTGCTCTTGAATTGAATATTGAGGAATATAATTCATAAATAATAAAAGTAACTTGACATATATAATATATAAAACAGAGATACTATCTATACGAGGACTCTCAAGATACTTGGCCCAGTATATCTAAACTACCAGAAACAACAATAAATAAATATTTATGAAATCTGAAATATTTATTAGATTTAATTATTGATTTGATCTTAATTTTAATTAAACGTAAAACTTTTAACACTTCCTAATAGCTGCACTGGACTTAACGTTAGAAAACCTTTTACAGCTATGATGAAGATGATAGAAACTATTACAAAGTAGGGTTAAATATATTTTTAGTCCCTAAATTATTAGTAGTTTTTGGTTTTCGTCCCTATTTTAAAATAAGGTACAATTTGATTTCATTCTTTTCGAAACTTTGATTTTAATCCTTGAAACTTTGGTTTTAGTCCTCATTTTGTTGACAGACACATCAGCACATTTTTAACAGACCAAAGTTTCGAAGATTAAAACTAAAATTTCGAAAAGAGTGAGGATCAAATTGTACCTTATTTTGAAAAAAGGACAAAAACCAGAAACAACTAATAATTTAGGAACTAAAAACATATTTAACCCTACAAAATATTTATAGAAGTATCCTCAACAAGATCACAAATGACAGAAGAACATTCTTAGTTCCTTGTAAAATCAGTATATAAATGTTAAATATATATCACTAAGATTGAATTAATGTATTTTTCTTATTAGAAATTATCCATGAGACGTAAGTTAGGCGGAGATGACACTTTATATACTCTTTTTAAAGATGTTTGTTCATTTCCACACTTTTCACTCTCGTGGATCCTAAGTGAAACCACAATCGTCCTTCACTTATCACCACAAAGAAATCTTCAATTTATTCAGTTGGCTGAAAATTGTTCATGTGTCAAAACATATGCAGTATGTTACACAGATTTCATTATATGAATTATTTTTTTATAACCATGGTCAATAAGACCTCTTCAATTCATAATCACAAGTTATCTCACTAAAGATGTTCGAAATCCTCCTTTAATTCGTTGAACTACTTTTTTTATTTGATGCATAATGTATAAATAAATACAAGAATCATCTGGAATTAACTCGGAGTGACAACCTTTGAAGAAAAGAGACAATGAGGCTCCGTTGTGATGTCCATATCTCAGTTCAATAAAATGGAAACATCTAATCTAACATGAAAGAGCCATCTTAAAGCTTTGTGATGCTTCATCATGTTCCCCGCATCACTTTTTTCAATTCCCAAATTAGCAAAATTAGTTTGGAGACATCTTATAAATTAATAAATAATAAACTCTCAATTGGTTATTGAGAACAATATAAACTAATATTTTAAATTTTATTTGGATTACCAATAAGAATGAAAAAAAAAAGTAATTATACATACTCAGATAAAAACTGTCATTTCATTTATGTAACTATTACTTTTTAAACATTTTAATATTTTAATATTTTAATTTAACCTCTCAAACAAACTAAAATATTATTTATAATCTTTATCCAATAAATCTTTTATAATATACATACTTTTAACCATAATTTATTTAATTATCACTTAATAAATTAACTAATAAAATATAATCAATTTAACTGATTTAATAATTTATTATATGTATATAAATAATTCAAATTGCTGGTATATTGTATTGATTTATTTTGGATGAGTTGCCAAATCAAACAGGGTTACGACATTACCAAAATCTTACTCAGTGTCTCAGACATCTTCTGAGTGCCTCACCAGTCATCACCTTTGAACACAGAAAGCAGGCATTAGTGTAAGCTTTTGTTTTGTTCTGATTTCATGTGTTGGCGACGCGTGTAATTTAATGATTTAATGTAAACCGACCCGGTTCCATTATGCTGCTGTCTCACCAAGCACCTCACATGCTTCTCATTCTGACTCATCAAACAGACCACACATCTGAAAACAAAGAATTTAAGTTATCCATTTTTGGTACGGGTGGATTTTCAAATGAATAAATGATTTTATACAAATAATTAAAATGTATATAATAAATAATTTTAAGTGAAAATTTATATAATTATTTTTATAAAGTTACGTATTTTATTAAATAAAATTCATTATAAAAAACGTACTAAATTTGATTAATCCTTTTTCTTGACATTTCTATTGAGTGAACTACTTATTTGAATTGATTTTCAATCCAATGACTTGTCTATTTGATATTTTATTGTTTTATAAATTATTATGCATTCATTGTTGGTTTTCATCATTCTTCTTCATCTTTATGTTTTCGTTACAAATAAAGTCGACGTATTTAGTTAAACTATTCACTTGCATTTACCGTCTTTTTCCCTTTTTCTCGTTTCGTTCTGCATTCAACATATGTAATTTCTCTTTCATTGAGTCTCCACGTCAATCTCTGCTTCATTGCTTTTCATTTAAAGACTCTACGTTCTTCTATTCCTCTTTATTTTTTTAATTAAAGACTAATTTCAATAAAATATAGAGGAACTTAACCTTTTCCTTGGTCTTGATACCTATTTTTCATGTTTTTTTTTATCAAAGTTCCAAATTTTATTTCTCATATTTTTATGCTATTTTGTAGTAACTTTTTAAAAATAAATATTTTAAAACTGGATAAATTGTATAGTTTTTAAAATTGTTTTATATTTTTGATAGAATTTTCTTTCGGAGTTTGAAAGTTCAAACTTAGATGGTAGATAGTCTTTTAGGTATTATTTTATATTTACTTATCATTTGTAAGATAATCTTAAATGATACTGTGGGTGAAAATAATATTTCTTTTTTAAAGGTTAGTTTTTGTTTTCGTTTTGAAAAGCTTATGTGATTTATCTTCATCAAAAAATTTTTGAAATTATCAATTATACAACCATAAATACAAATCAATTATAAAATTATTTAAGATTTCACCTGATATTATCAAACACTAATATAGAAACACGGTATAACATCAGTGTTTTTCGGCTTTTCACATTGAATTCGAGGTCGACGTACGTTAAATTGATGTTGAACATAGAAC